AATTTAGTTTACTGATGTCCCACATCTGCAATTCAGTAAAGTTCTCAATTATGTTACGTTGCACATCTGTGGTCTAAAGCCTCTCTTTGCACACAACACACTGGCAGCAAAGCAAAACTGATTAACTTCTATATGCCTTTAACATATGGACCAGCCAGAAGTAGGAAAGCCTCTGTTCTGAGCTAAAATATACAGCTTCCATTAACCTGATCCAAATTCTTAGAAAATGTAAATTCTGATTCATCTATAAGTAGTGAGACTATAATTACAATGGTTTTTTTTCCAATTAATTTGACTTAGACTGCCTGCAGTTACTTCCTAGAGGTGAAAATACTAACGCAAAAGTGCCATTATAAGCAGAATTTACTGCAAGATAAATTTGCAAAATTAAGATGTATTTAAGATTTTCACTCTATTGTGATGTATCGAATTAAAAGAAAAACCCGCTAAGCCCAGATGAAAACACGCTGTATTTCAGTAAACAAGTCTGACTTAGACCAAACCAGAAACCTCTCCACTATCTAGTGCCAGAGGAAGTGCTTGTGTTCAGTAGGAGAGTGCAGTAATGGGTTCCATTGAAAACACTGTCAAAGCCTGAAGATTGGCCAAGATTTTACCCTGTGCCCAGTAGTTTTCTTTCATTGAGCTGAAATAGAAAATGCCAAAGAATGGTGAAATGTAATTCTTCAATGTGATTTTGCAAAAAGTCCTAGTTCTTGTGTGCTTTAAGGTGAAAAAAGAAAGAATGGGAATAACATGTGCCAGACTTTCTCAGCGTGTAGTCTGTTTGCTTTTTTTTTATTTTTATTTTTTAATGGGATACACATAGTTTTTAATCATTAATTTTTTTCTGACAGCTGTATGTAGGGCACGAGATGTAAAAGCACAAATAAACAAAAAATCAATACTGAGGAGAGGAAGCAATCTTTCAACAGGTTAACTCTAATTAATATTTTTTTTTTAAAACATATTTTCCTCAAACTTTGATGAAGATTTTCCCTTGTTAAAATATCCTAACTCTATGGAGAAGGTTTTGAAAACTTTCACTTTCAGTTCTCTAGCTCACGTGTCTAGGGATTTTGAGCAAGATGATCTTATTAACCTCACATTATATCTAAATTGTACACTGACTGTGAGAGCAACACCCAATGCTACCAAAAGCACCAGAGGTGATGCTGTTATGGCCGTACTCTTGCTCAGCTCAGTCTAATATACATAGCCAAGCCCAATCCCTACACAGCCTCAGAACTGTGACAGAAACGTTTCTGTTGTGACTGTTTTGGGAGTGGAAGGCTGGAGTATTTTTCTTTTCCTCCCTCCAGGTGGCAAGTCTCTATCTCTCCAGCAAGGATCTAAGGTAGAACAGAGTCACCTCTAAGGGTCTGTGAATTTCAGAGGGGAAAAAAGTCTGCAGGGATTATGTTTCAAAAATAGAGAATGATATGCTTCAACTTTTCTGAGGAGCCTGCACCTTCATACCTCCCCACAGTCAGATCATTTGGGGAACATAAAGTGAGCGCAAAAACTGGAGGAGGAAGCTACAGTCACAAAGACCCCAGGGGTTTTAAAAACCTCAAGCACTCTATTGATATCGGCATTTAAATGTGATACTGCAAAAATTCTGAAGTATCAGAACGGACTCAAATGGTCTGACTCCTCACTACTACTGTAGTGAATGTACCAAGCTCTCCTTAATCTTTTCCATTAAACCCACTTCTCTTTCAAGTGGACTCTTCTATAGGTTGCATGATTTCTTTCCTCTCTGACGCTTTAGTCGTGATAGCAATAAACCAACACTACAAATAGGAATGCCTTATAAATGGGAACATGCATATTCAACTGGAGTACTGGCAGGCTTTTTAAATGCTCTGTTTCTCTTTCTTATTTGGAGTAAATTTCATTTTAGTTTTAGAATATACAGAAACCTCAGCACTAAAAAAACTGTGCTTGTAGAAAAAGTGACAAATCCAGCAGCAGTTGAGAGAACTGGGTGGTTAAATAAGAGTATGTTCATTCAGGTCCCTAGAAAATGCAATCGGACTCCAAACTGCACTCAGTGCATCTAATTTTCCACTGAAGGAAGAAAAAACAAGTTGGGCAATCTATAAAATTAATCCCAGAATGTTTAAGTGCTGACATCTATATCACTAATTCTGCGCACTTTTAACCATAAATCGCTATTACAAATGTGCATTTAAAGCCCTGCTGTTAATTTCTGGCCTTTTAAACTACACAGTCTTCTACTGTGAAACAGAAGCATTTGTTAAGAGGGGATAAGTATGTTTGATAAATTACAGGGATTAATGTGATCTTAAATTAGTATAAGAACTTAGTCTTTTTAATATTTATTTTCTTGCAGCTGCTAAGTTTTTGACAGAGGAAGAAATGACAGTTATATAAATATACTTCAAACACTAGGTCTTCCCGGAGTGGGAAAGGCATCTTTTTGTTCTTAATGGTATTTAAGAACGACGTTTCAGTAACTCGCAAACCCGTGTTAATAGTTTCATATTCCCTCTTGCTTCTGGGATAGCACCACCTAGTGACTCTTAGGCAAATTGAGAGAGCCGCTTGGCAAAAACCATGTATGCTGCAAATTCCAGAGCTAGTTGCAAGCAGATGTGAGAATGTGCTGTCACTCATCTTCAAACAAAACACCAGAGATACTGGCAGAAGGCTCACTTCAAGTCAGGGTTACCTGGAGGGATGCAATATGGCTTCCATGTAAATTATTAACTTTCACATCAGTCAGTAATCTACTGAAAGCTGAAGAAAATTGTATCGAGATCATGAATCTTAATCTGTATAATTTCTGGCATTAGAAATGAAGTACATATTGAGTGAAGGGAACAAGGCTTAAAGGCAAGGGCAGAGCATGATGGGAAATTTACACGGTCACTATTCTTTTGTTTACAAAAACTTCTTTGTAGAAAGTTAAGTGAATAGCATTACCTTTCTTCACTGCAGAGATGAAGCAGCATTGCCAGTTATACCTTCTGTCTCAGCCAAACCTTTCATTTATCTTGCAAGCTGCCAAAACTAAACCTGGCAACAATCTGATTTTAGAACACACAGGCCCCAAAACAGGATGTGGGTGCCAATTATATTAGACAGCTGGAAAAAATAGAGCAAAATCACAAAGATGTTCAAAAAACAGAAATGATCTAAGAGATTCAAGTTATTCTTAAAGCATCATGCATAGGAACATATGCATAATGATTTTTACCAGGATGTCCCATATTGACTTGAGAGAAATATAGATTCAACTTGTTTCTTGTGCTCCATGGAAAGGTAAACTTCCTATTATGGGAAGCAGAAACCACTCAATTCATTTAAATAGGAAATAGGAAGAGAAGAGTAGTAATACACCAACATGGTAAACATTCATTGCTGCAGTGAGAAGTATTTCCTTCCTGAACCTTTTATGCACGTTGGGTAAAATTCTCAGTTTAGTCCTGCTGTCACTGAAAGCACCTCTAGAAAGCCAGAGGCAGATAAGTTTGCATGAAATCAAGCCTACCTACAGTATTTGCAATAATTTTGACTCATAACTGGGAGAAAATACCTAATCTGTTTCATTCTGACATCAGCTCCAACGTAGAAAATGGCTGGTAAAGAGGGAGGTGAGGCACATTTGACCCAATATCAGCTTTATTTTTAGCTTTGTTTGACCCATCCAGCATAAGAAATCCTTTCTACCAGTCTATGCTAAGGACCCAAATGTCAGAAGAAATAGACTCAAAGATTTGTGTTTCCTGCTTAGGCAATAAACTATCCTACTCTTAACGTACATCTCCCTTTGTCTAAGATTGTCACAGCTGAAGGGAGAAGCAGATTCCTCAGCGGATTCTCACCTCTCAGGGTCCTCTAAAATTGTAATTTGAAGGGAAATAATCCAGAGCCTTCTAATTACAGGAAAGAACAGATTGGTAGGAATCTATCGTATGTAGAATATATTATATATAACAGATATTTTGCTATCAGTTACACATGTGCAAAGAATGTTGCTCCAGATGTTCTTTTTCTATGTAGAAGTCTCAAGATAGATAGAGGGCAATACCAGAGGCTGTGACTGAACTACTGAGTTTCCAGAAATCACAGACAGATATGCTGCACAAACATTGAACTGTACCTAGAGTCTATACACAGCACTACCTAGTGCATGTACGCTTTTTTTTTACCCAGAACATTTTTGGTAGAAATACAACCACACTTTGTTTATATCGTATCAGACCAAAATAGTTTTGCAATCTAATACAACACACTGTATTTGGATTATTCCTTATTGTTACATCTTTTTCTTATTAATTATGAAAAAAAAACCTTTAAGAACACGGAAAGCATTGATTGACATTTTTAATGTGTACATTTCTTGTCTTGTTGGCATGTATACTGCATTTGTACATGTCGGTAGTATTCTGACAACAATCCATGGAAAAAGCAAATTTTATCTTACTATTTTATTTAGCCACACATCTGTGCACTTTGAAGTAAGTCAGTGTCAACAAGCTTAAGATAAACGGAATTTATGAAACCTGGCACATCAGTATGCATACTTTAAAATTTGGAAGAAACTATTTTATGTACTGCACCGATGAATCTAAACAGATGGGTATTATCTCCAAACTAACAACCAACATTACAGGATTTAGAAATTGTAAGAAATGCTACACAAGAATATATCAACTGAACTGAACTTAGCAAAGGACAAAGAACAAAAACACATTCTCATTCTGTTTTCAAAATGAGTTCTTGCCCTAAACACCATATAATCTCCCTTTCTCTGGACTAGCGAATGAATCTTGCCTCCTGGGTTTATGGCAACATACTTTTAAAAAAAATATATCAATAGTATTATTATTTAACACTTCAGATATCTAGGAAACTTACAACAGCAGAAAGAGCTGAAAAGCAGAGGTTTGTACAGAAAGAACTAGATTTTCAAAGGAGGAGGTGGCTGAAAATATTTGCGAAGTAAGCAAAGCTGTTGCAGAAAGTACCTGTTTTGGTTAGCGGGCTAGAAAACAGCTGCTGAAGAAGTTTGTTCTCTGAGGTTCTTAGCACTACCACTATGTCAGCAGGAAGAGTGTCTCTATTCTTCTCAAGAAATGCAGAGGCATCATATAATACCTAGCATGGGAAATAGGGTCAGATATGTTGCCAAAAAATATTCCACAAAAATAACACCTGCAAAGGACTTGAAAGTGTACAGCTAACACACTGTCTTCAACATGTGAACCATGTTAAAAACAAACCAAAAACACTTGCATTAATCACATTTACACAGTGGAGATCAAATTGGGTTAAATTGGGTTTTAGTCATGTTATATTATGGTTTGTCACATCAAACTATGGGATGCATGAAGTAATATAACAGAGATACCTCATTAAAGCTTAAGTCAACAGTTTACACGTGAAATAAGAAATGGTTCCCAGGCAGTCAAAATTTATTTATTGCTTGCACCAAACTGATTGGTAACTAGTTCTCTTATGGGAACAGGAGTAAGTTTCAGACGTAGCTCAAAATCAAGAAGCCTGTTAAACAGGTTAGTGAATGTTAGTAGAAAAATTAAACATTCATCATTTCTTTCCACGTGCTAGGGCACGAGTTTTGATTATTTACAGTGGACAATTTAATTTTGCTTTTTAAACAATTACTTTTATTACATTTTATAGAAATTAATGTCTGGCTATTTGTTATCATATACGAATCTGTTACTTTTCTCCTTCTTTATTTTCTTTAAGAAAGCTGATTTAATATTTAAGCTGGTTTTATTATTACCAGCAATATTCCTTTCTAGCCCAATTCCACTGGAGTCCTTGTGTTTCCAGAGAAATTGAGTGCTTGCCTTCACAACTAGTCAGTAGTGTTTTTATGACTTGGCCATTCAGGAACAAAGAATTTATTAAACTTGTGTGAAATGTTACAGTTATTCTTAACAGGTCAGAAAGCTGGACTAAGTTTACTAGAGCATATTGTAACATTTTTGACTCTTTATAATAAGCCACAGAATAGACTTTACTAATAACTAAATAAAACACTGTTATTTTATTTTCACTTTATTTGTGAATAAAGATTCGTGCACCTCACAAGCATAGCTCATGTTACATGAAACAATCGGACAATCATTCCCATATAAAGTAACAGGTGAACTGCTGAGAGCAAGGTAGGTGCTGTGGAGTATGGAAGTCATTTGTGCTAGCAAAAATTACTCAAAAATTACCACTCAGTCTTTCCAGTGATCTCTGTTGGATTTTAAGTTCTATTGCAGACACTGTTACACACTGTCTTTACACAAATACGTATGTATATATGATCACACACAGAATGTCTGTGGTATTCACACAATGTTAAAAAGTGCATAGCCTGTACTCGTTCCAGAGTTCCTTTAAAAATATCTTAGTGACGGTGTTTCTGGTGCCAGACTTCTTTCAGGACAAAAAGTGGCTTCTGTCCATCTAATTTTTAATAGAACCCTAAGGATAGGTTCTAGAATGGACTACTTCACACAGAAATTTTATCATAGATTCTTTGTTTCTTAAAATTTTATCATTTTGGCTATTGAAGAGAGGAAAAAGCAATAACTCCGGTTAAAACAGATAATGACTACAAAACTATGATTTTAACGAAATAAAAATCACATGACCTCACCTTTCCAGCATAGTGCTGAATACCAAATGACAATTCCACTCCTTTTGGTCTCCAGAAGTATTTGCATCGCAAGTTATCTTCAAATTTATCTAAACATTTGAGAAGTGAAGTTGATAAAAATGAATTACAGTGATTAAGCAAAATCTTGATCCTAATTAAGGCCTGCTTCCTGCTTGAGAACTCAGATCTACCGTAAGAACATCTACTGTAAGAACTATTGTAAGAACATCTATTGTCAGATTACCCAGTAATAACTATGTGCCATCTTCATGTTTTCTTCCAAGCTGCTACTACTGGATGGAATAACTCATTCAAAACTAGCCCTGTAATAAGGTACTTCAAAACCCCATTCTGGCAGAGTTTTGTGCACTGGAAATAGAGAACAGGGAGAGTTTTATTTGTTTTGCTTTGTGCATCATGTTTTAATTATAAGTCAATATTTTCAGGTTGGGACCATATCCCAATTGCCTTTGTATGCCTACAGAAAAAAACAAAAAAAAAAAAAAAAAAAAAAAAAAAAACCTCTCTAAAATTTTTCTGTTTCTTTCAACATACCTCTGAAGAGCTGACAGAAAAAAGGAACTAGTGCTGATACTGTAAAACTTGGTATTGTATTTCCTTATCTGCACATGCAACTAGAACTTCACGGCCAGAATCATCAGACAAAATTATCTTTCGCTTTATGTAGGTCAGAAATTACTACAAAAATTTTTTTTTTTCTGATATTATAATCCATTAACATTTTATTTTC